GGCGGCTGCAGAACCGGCGCCCCAGCGGCAGCGGCAGAGGGAATCAGACCCTCGGCGCCGCTCTATTGGGCCCCTCCCGACACCCGCCCCCCGCCCCTTGCCATCCTCTTCCCTTAGGGTGTGGACTCCTTGGTCCTGGAAAGTGTGATGTTCGCCATCCTGGCCGAGCGGTCGCTGGGTCCCCAGCTCTACGGCGTTTTTCCGGAAGGCCGGCTGGAACAGTACATCCCCGTACGCACCCAGCCCGGCCCTGTCCTCCCCAAGACACCTTCTCTCCCAACTGTCTTCCTCCCCAATGTCTGCTTTCACATCCCTCATCCCAGGTAGGGAACTTCCCCCAGACCCTAACCTGCCCCATTCCCCTGCCCCTGCCCCCTCCTGCCCCAGCCCCCTCACCACCCTGATAGGTTCCTGGGTGCAGAGCCGGCCACTGAAAACTCGAGAGCTTCGAGAGCCAGTGTTGTCCGCAGCCATCGCCACGAAGATGGCCCGGTTCCATGGCATGGAGATGCCTTTCACCAAGGAGCCTCACTGGCTCTTCAGGACAATGGAGCGGTAAGTGCGGCCTCTCAGGGTTCCCCATACCTGAGTGAGCCCTTGCTCAGCAGTCATCACACTGGGCTGTGTCTGGTTGCCCGCGCCCCCATGGAGATCAGGTGACCCAGGGTGGCACAGGACAGGCTACCAGACAGCTGCCAGACAAGTCACACAGGGACGGGGAAATGGCAGAAAGTCTTGCATGAGGGGTAGATAGGAGAGGGGGTTGGGCAAATCCTATTCTCTGGGCTTCAGGTACCTAAAGCAGATCCAGGACCTGTCCCCGACTGGTCCCCCCGACACGAACCTATTGGAAATGTACAACCTGAAGGATGAGATGGGCAACCTCAGGTGAGGGCAGTAGGGGAGAGGGGGTGTGAGAGGTGGCACCAGATACCTCATCGTGTCCTCCCCCAGGATTTTCTGAGGGCTGGGGTCAGGGCCTGGCTCGTGAGGGTGGCTTGACCTTCCTCTATAGTCACTTTGCTCGGGACCCATGCCCCCATACCCCTGCAGGAAGTTGCTAGACTCTACCCCATCGCCAGTGGTCTTCTGCCACAACGACATCCAGGAAGGTAGGAGACATCTGAGGCTCCCCCAGGGCGGAGGGGACCAGAAGGTCCTAGAGTGACCAGAACCACCCCATCCCTCCCAGGAAACATCTTGCTGCTCTCAGATCCAGGAAGTGCGGACAACCTCATGCTGGTGGACTTCGAGTACAGCAGTTATAATTACAGGTGAGGGTAGGATGATGGTCCCCTATCAATCTGTTTCTCAGTGTCCTGGCAAAACGGACCAGGCTTCATCTTGGCATCCCAGCTGCCCAGGGTATCTGGAGACTGAATGTCCACCTTATTCCCCAGGGGCTTTGACATCGGGAACCATTTCTGTGAGTGGGTTTATGATTATACTCATGAGGAATGGCCCTTCTACAAAGCACAGCCCACAGACTACCCCACTCAGGAACAGCAGGTATGTAGATTGGAGGCTGGGGAGCAGGAACCATCCTGTGAGGGAAGGGGGAAGGGTGAAGTCTAAAAGGATTGGCCAGAAAGGGTGTTAACTGGGAAATATTCCACAGTCTCCCTAGTTCCTAACTCTTATCCATTGATCTCAGCTCCATTTTATTCGCCATTACCTGGCAGAGGTAAAGAAAGGTGAGATCCTCTCCCAAGAGGAGCAGAAAAAGCTGGAAGAAGATTTGCTGGTGGAGATCAATCGGTGAGGAGGAAGAAGCTGTATGGATGTAGGGCAGGATACAGAGGAGGACTGAGGGAGAGGCGATAGACTCACAGAGCTGCATGCAGGTCAGGTGTAGGTAGGGGGACAGAGCTGGAAGTTGAGGTCTGAGGTTTGAAAGTGGGAAGAAGGATGAGGTAGGGGTTAGGGTGAAGAGAAGTTAGAGCTTCGGGAACCAGCAGTTAGCGTAATGGCTATGTCGCTGGACTCCCACATAGTCGACCTCGGTTCGTGTCCCGGACCCGGTGGCTTAAAACTCACGCCGGGCGCGTGTGCGTGCGTGCCCAAGATCCCGAGAGGAGAATGGAGGAGAAGGGATTGCGGCGTGACCATCCCCCCTGGGGGGTGATTTCTCGCTTTCTGTCTCTATGTCTCTCTCTGTCTGTCTGGCGAGCGCACGCACCCTACAATGAAAATCTCTCAAAAAAAAAAAAAAAGAGAGAAGTTAGAGCTTTGGGCATTGGCCAGCCTGAAAGAAGGGCTCCCACTCAGTGCCAAATGTACTTTTTCCTTCCTCACCCCTACCCCTACCCCCAGGTATGCTCTGGCATCCCATTTCTTCTGGGGCCTGTGGTCCATCCTCCAGGCATCCATGTCAACCATAGAATTTGGCTACTTGGTAAGAGAGTCAGGGGCAAGCATTCCAGGTGCAAGCTGGGTTGTGGCAGAGGTCATATGTTCTCTAGGAAATCTGGGCTGCCCTGGGTGGCTATGGGCAGACGGGCCAGTGTAGAGTGCTGATCCCAGGCCTCACCGCTGTGTGGGTGGGTTTTCTTTCCTAGGAGTACGCCCAGTCTCGGTTCCAGTTCTACTTCCAGCAGAAGGGGCAGCTGACCAGCTTCCCCCCGACTTTGTGACCCTCCACCCTTCCACTTGGATTCCTCCTGGAGCCTCCAGGGCAGGACCTTGGAGGGAGGGAAAAAAAGCAGGAGGCTGTGGGGACTGGGCTGAGCCACCAAGCAAGAGGGGGCTTTAGGAGACTGACCTCACCCTGCGTTTGAGTAGGTCTGGGTGGTGAGCAGGCCGGAAGCCTCTGGGCTGTGTACCTTAGGGCAATAAACGAGCTTGTTCTTGCACACCCTGTCCTGGCTCTGTACAGACAACACCAAACCAGGAATACACAAACTGACAGAGTGCTCTGGGCTTGAAAGTAGTCCCGTGGCTCCAACTTAAAAGTCGTCAATACTGGGAGGATCTGTGGGAAGGATTGTGGAGTGAGTGATGGGGTTACACAGAGGGCTTTGGGGTGGGGCTGTCAGCCCTGAGCAGTAGAGACCTGAGAACAGGATGCACAGCTGATACACGGTGACCTTTTCCCT